ACAGGGACTGTAGTGATTTCACCCTTTTAATTTCTAGTTGCATGGATGTGAGTTTTTTTCTTTCCTCTTTTGATAAGGTTGGCTAGGGGTTTACAAATTTTATTTATTTTTTCAAAGAACCAACTCTTTGGCTCATTAATTCTTTGTATTATTTTCTTAGTTTCAATTGCATTAATTTCTGCTCTGATCTTTATAATTTCCTCCCTTCTTTGCACTTTTGTCTTCTTTTTCTAGAAGTTTGAGGTGCAGCATTAGGTTGTTTATTTGTGTTCATTCCATTTTCCTCATGTGGGAGTTTAGCACTATAAATTTCCCTCTGAGAATGGCTTTCATTGCATTCCACAAGTTCCTGTAATTTATATTTACATTTTGATTCAATTATAGATAATTTTAAATTTCTTCTGTTACTCATTGGTTGTTTAAGAGAGTGTGAATTTCCATGTGTTAATGGGGTTCTTGTGGGTTTTTTGTTGTTAATTTTCAATTTTATTGTGGTATGGTCAGATAATATGCATGGGTTATTTCAATTCCTTTGCATTTACTTAAGCATGTTCTGTGGGCTAGTATATGATCTATTTTAGAGAATAACCCATGTGCAGCTGAGAAGAATGTGTATTCTGATGTTGTTGGTTGGAATACTCAGTACACATCCACTACATCCATTTGTTCACAGCTTTGATTCAGTTCTGTTATTTCTTTGTTGATTTTTTGTTTGGTAGATCTGTCTCTTTGTGACAATGGGGTGTTAAGGTCTCCTGTCATCAGTGTGTTATTACTTATTTGACTTTTCATGTGTATTAAGATTCATCTTACATAGATGGGCACTCACATATTTGGAGCATGTATATTTATGATTATAATCTCTTCCTCTTTAAGTTTTTTTCTAGCAAATATTTAGTGACTTTATCTCTTTTGATCATTCTTGGTTTGAAGTTCATGTTTTCTTCAAATAGAATAGCTACCCCTGCTTTCTTCTGGGTTCCTGTTGCATTGAGTATTGTTTTCAATCCTTTGACTTTTAGTCTGTGAATTGCCTTTTGAGTTAAATGTGTTTCTTTATACAGCATATTGTTGGGTTTTATTTCTTTTTAAAAGTTTATTTAAAGAGAAAAAAACAACAGAAAATGGGTCCAAGTAATGCAGAATGTAAAAAAAAAATAAACAGTAAGAAATCACTACTTAATAGATTACATATTGTCATCTTAGAAGGATTTTATTTCTTAATCTACTCTGCCCATTGGTTTCTTTTTATTGGTGAGTTGAGACCATTTACATTGATGGATATAGCTGATATGTACTAACTTATCACTGTCATGTTATCTTTCTGTTGTTTTCTACTTTTTCTGTTTGTTTGCCCTGCTTAGTGGTTTCCTTCTGCTGTTGTTCTTGGGATTGTAGTTATCTTTGTCTCTTTCTAAAGTGTCTTTCAGTACTCTTTGTAGTGTTGATTTGGTGGTCATGAATTTCTTCAGTTGTTCTTTGTCATGGAAGTATCTTATTTCTCCATCAGTCTTCAAAGATAATTTTTCAGGGTACATCAATCTGGGGTGAAAGTTGTCTTCTTTCAGGACATGAAATACTTCACTCCAAGCTCTTCCTGACTTGAAGGTTTGTATTGAAAAGTCTGCCATGATTCTGATAGGCTTTCCTTCCTAGGAGATCTGTTTCTTTTCTCTGACAGCTTTTAGTATTCTGTTCTTATGCTGAATTTCTGATATCCTAATTACTATATGTCTAGGTGAAGATGTATTTTAGTATGGTCAATTGGTGTTCTGTATGCCCACTTATCTGAATATCAGATTCTTTTCCATATTTGGAAAATTTTCTGCTATTATTTCTGTAAATAGTCTTTGTATGTCATTTGTATTGACCCCTGCTTTTTGGATGACACCTATCAACCTTATATTGTTTCTCCTTGCATCATCTTTCAGTTGTTGAATTGTTTCCTTGTTCCTTGTTATTTTTAAGAGATCTTTTCTTTCATGATCATAAGCTTCTACCCTGTCTTCAAGGTCTGATAGTGTGTCTTCAGCTTTATTCAAGCAGTTTTGCCAGCTTTCAATGGAATTTTTAATTTCCTGAACATCCCTTTGATTCTGTTTCATGAATTCTAATTCTGTCTTATATTGTTCATTTGAATTTCCATCATTTTTTATGTTCCTCTATTTTTTGTTGAGATAATCTTTAGATACACACAGCATTTCTTTCATAATGTTTGTCATTTCCTCCTTTACCTGAGAGATTATTTCTGATCTGATTTCCTCTATAGCTTTATGGAGTTGTTTCTCTACTTTAGTTGCTATCACTTCAGAAAGTTCACTTGTGCAGTTTCCAGTGTCTTCCATTTCATTGTCTCTTGTGTTTGCTCTCCATAGGCTGATGGACTGAGACTGCATCTTGCTCTTTCATTTTGTCATTTTCCTCTGGGACCATTTGGCTGACCATGCACCCTTCTGATGGGTTGCACTGGAATGCTGCACTAGGCAGAGCTTCAATCCTCCAATATCCCTGTGGCTAGCCAGGGTACATCCCCAAAATAGAGCACCACAGCCTTTTGCTCTGTGATCTGTGAGGATGGCCAGACATTCACCTGATGTACTGCACTTGGTTGCACTGGGATTTTGGGCTGGGCAGAGCTTGTATCTTCCATGAAGCTAGCAGGGATGTACCTCTGGCATGTGTTGCTGGGGCCTAGCACATGGCTGGATGGAGTTCAGAGTCTCTACGACCCAGGTGGCTAGCTGGAACATGCTCCTAGTGTGTGGCACTGCCAGGGCCTTGTGTCTGATTGAGAGATGTTCAGAGCATCTGGACTACATGGCTAGCCTGGGATCGGCACTGGTGTATGGTGCTGGGGACTTACTATTGGCTGGGCAGAGTTCAGAACCTCCAGGACCCATGTGGCTAGCACGGACACACCCTTGAACTATGGCTCTGGGTCCTTGTGCACTGATGGGTAGATTAAGATTACAAATTCTCCAAGATCCATTGGCTAGGCTGGTTGTTCCCTGATGGGTGACATTAGGGCTCTGGGCTGGGCTGGGACCAGTACCTCTGTGACCTGTGAGTTTGGCTGAGTGTTTCACTGATGGGTCGCATTAGGATACTGGGCTGGGCAGAGCTCAGATTCTTCTTGCAGTTTACAAGGACACAGCCCTGGAGTATAGTGGCATGGCCTTGTACCTGGATGAATGGAGTTCAGAGCCTCTGGGACCCAGGGGGCTAGGTGGAGTATGCCACCAGAGTGTGGTGTCATCAGGACCTTGTGTCTGGTTGGGAGGAGTTCAGAGCCTCTGAACCACACAGCTAGCTGGGTGCATGTCTGGTATATGGTGCCGGGGCCTTGGTCCTGGCTGGGCAGAGTTTGGAATCTCTGGGACCCACTGTGGGGTTAGCTTGGATACCCACAGATGATTTTAATTTTGATGAAGTCCAATTTATTTTTTTGCCACTTATGATATTAATGTTCAGTTGATGAACTCATCTAAGGCCATGAAGACCTATATCTCCTTTTTCTTCTAAGAGTTTTATAATTTTAGCTCTTTCACTTTGACCTTTGATCCATTTTGAGTCAATTTCTGTGTATAAGTACTTTGTTCTTTTACATATGGCTATCTAGTTATTGGATCGTGGTTTGTTTATTTAAAAGACTTTGTTTTCCACTGAAATGTCTCAAAACCCCTTTCAAAAATTGGTCACACATGTAAGAGTTTATTCCTAACTCAATTTTATTCCATTTATCTACATGTTTATGCTAGGCCAGCATTATACAACATTGGATACTGTAGGTTTCTGAATTTGGGAAGTATAAACTTTTTTCTTTTTCAAGAGTATTGTGATTACTCTAGGTTTCCTTCATTTTCATAATTATTTTAGGATCAGCTTTATAATGTCTGTTAAAAGAAAAAGTCAAATGAAATTGATGGGGACTTGTTGATTCTGTGGTTTAATACAGGTGAGTACCAATGTTTTGACAATATTGTATCTTTCAATTCACAGATAAAGGATTTTTTATTTATTTAAGTTTCTTAATTTTATTAAAAGGTGTTTTGTAGCTTTCAGTGTACAGGCCTTACATTTCTTTTATTAAGCATGCTCTTAACTTTTTAAATTCTTTTAGATGAGATTGCTTATATAATTATTTTTCTTAATTTTAGTTTTAGATTATTCATTCCAAATATATAGAAATTCAACTGATAGTTATATATCTATTTGTATCTTGCAAGATTTATAAACACTGGTTGACTCTTGTGGAGTTTTTGGTGTGTACTGTATAGATTTTTATTCTTATAAAGATCATATCATTTGTGGATAGAGTCAGTTTCACCTCTTCATTTTTAATCTGGTTGTCTTATATGTCCGTCCCTTGACTAATTTCCCTGGCTAGATTTTCAGTGTTGTATAAAGTAGAGCAAATCACCTTGTCCAGTAGCTGATGATAGGAGAAAAGTTGATCTCTAGCCTTTTTTGATTTTTATTTTGAGACAGGATCATAACGTCATTGATTCAGTCAGGCTGGGCTCGGATTTGCAATCCTTTTTCCTCAGCCTCCCAGATTGCTGGTATTTCAGGGATGTGCAATCCTTCCTGGCTCACTGGCTTTTAATAATGACTTAGCCCTTCTGAAAATGCTAACACACACCTTCATGGAAACAGTAACTTCTATCTGGTGAAAGCGCACTACTAATCTTGATTTCACAGTGTGTTCATTTTTTAAAAATACCTTAGAGCTATATCTCTTGCAAACCACAGAAAATCATGTTAAATACTTAGTGCAGGCAACCAACTGCCAGAAAAAAGGCAAGACCCTTTCGTTTTCCCTGTAGGGCTTGCATGGCCAGCAGTCATGCTTGTTGTGAAGTCTAGGGTCTCAGCAGATTAGATACAAACTTAAAGGTGGAGGGGTTTCAACTTGCCTTCTCTGATCGTACATTCTCTGTAACTAGAAAATTTTCAGCCTGTTAACCCAAGAAGGTGAATAATACTCTCCTTTTTTCCCAGTTTTCCTTCCCATAAAAGATTAAACTCAACCATTGTTCATTTCATAACAACCATTGCCAAGAGAAAGTAAGGACCAGACTTGCTGGACCTCTAACTGCCTAGAGAAGCAGGTAACCACATTTTTATTCATAATCACCCATAGATAATTATGGACAAATGCAGTTTTTCAATCTTCCAAAGATTGTTTAATTTCTAGTTGGAGTCCAAGTGGAAAATATTCAATTATTTTAGAAGATTTGAAAAGTAAGTGAAAAAGTTGTGTGCTTGTCTGGTTCCTATTTCAGGTGTTCTTCATTCGTTTGTGTGCATTCAGTTTCCATCTGGTAACATTTGCTTTTTGCCTGAAAGACTTCCTTTAACATTTCCTGTGTTGCAGTTCTGGTGGTAATGAATTCCTTTAGCTTCTAAGTATCTGAAACAAACGTTTTCAAACATACAGATAAGCAGAATAAATAGTAGAATAAACACTCATAACAATTAGATGTAACAATGATAAGAATTTACTATATTTACTTTATATTTGAAATACTATAAGTTGCAGAAAGCATATTTTACATCTGTGTAATTTCTGTATGCATAACTGACAAAAAAGGAAAGTTTCCCCACATAACCACAGTGGAATTACTACTTCTAACAAACTTAATAACTTTCTAATATCCTTTAACACTCATTCTGCATTTAAATTTCTCTATTTCAGAAACAACTTTTACAGTTGGCTTATTCAAACGAGACTCCAATCCAAGATTTTTCCAGTCTAGTCATGTTGCTCCCTCTGCTTGTTTCCCTGCATGCCATTGAATTTTTGAGATACCTGCTCAGTTGTCTTATGGAATGCTCACCTCTTGTTTTTGATTTCCTTGTGGTTTCGTCTTGATGTCCTTCAACTTATTCCTTATCTCTGGTGTTTCATAAAAGATGGACATTAGATTTAAATCCTTGAGCTGGGCATGGTGACATATACCTGTAATTTCACACTCCTGGGAGTCTGAGGCAGAAGGATTGAGTTCAGCCTGGGCATCTTATAGAGATCCTGTCTCACAATTGAAAAAAAGGATTAGGGTTGTTGCTTAGTGCAAAAGGCTCCAGGTTTAATCCTGAGTAACAGATACAAAATTTAAAGACTTCACTTAGTTTTTGTTAAATATTTTTATAATGATTCAGAGGGAGTGGAGAAGTGAAACCTGAGCTCATTTCTATGAGAGTAAAAGGTCAGGTGCTTAGTTGTAACCTGCCTTAGTTAGTTTTCTCATTGCTAAGACAAAATACTGGACACCTAAAGTAAAAGGAGGAAAAGTTTATTTCAGCTTACGGTTTGTAGAGGTTTCAATCCTTAGTTGGCTGGCATGGCAGACAGACATAGCAGAAAAGAAGCAGGCTATGGCAAAGCAGGCAGGGGACAGCAAAGAATCAGCAGCAGTATCAGCTGTTGCAGCCTGTTCCTTTTTGTCCCTTTATATTCTACCCAGTCTATAAGTTTATTGACTGGTGCCAGCCATACCCAAATTGGAGTTTCCATTATCCACACCCTTAATCCCAGTATCTCACCTTTAATTCAGATTCATACACCCTAATCCAGCCACTTTTCAAACTTCCCACCAATGACCACAGGAGGCTTTGAGAGGACTTCTAGATACAAGCCATAACATCTCCCTCAAGTATGATCTGAATGAACCTGTGAGTGTCTGGCCTCTGTACTATATTAGTTTGCTTCTTATCATGAGCCTTTGGTAAGGAGTATGAAGTTGGGGATGTAAACCTCTATTTTCTTATAAGAGTATTGTGGCAGCCATGATCGTCTCCTTTCCGATCTAAATTCAAGGAGCCTGACTGAAGAATGACCCCAGTGGCTGAGCCCTGCAAAACTCTCCTGTGTTTTCTTGAGGCCAAGTTCCCTATACAGTGCTTGCGACCTATGATGGAGCACATTGAGGATATTAAAGCCAATCCACTCCTGAGACCTGTGGAGCTGTCCAAAGAGTGAGTCTGGATCCGGGGTCCTTTGCTGGTCTGACTAAAACTTTCTTGTAACTGCACTGCAGTCTAAAATTTTTCTTACCCAATCTTCTTCCCTCCTTCTCTCCTCTACAAAGGTCCACATGTATCTCTTACTGTTTGACAGCTCTTCTAGTCTCCTTTCGCTTCTCCTCCTAATTTTCCCTCTTAGATATTTTCTCTATTAAATTCATCTTGATGTCCCTTCCTCAGACTAACAAGTAACAATGTCCTGAGATATTGACACCTGTTCAGGTAAATCATTTCTGGAGACAAGACTAAAAGGCCAATGAAATAAATGGATAATACAAGGAGAAAAATAGATTGCCAAAATGCAAGTGTCAAAGAAAGACGAATGGCAAGTCTGGTATATACTCCATGTAGCAATTTTCAGGGGATGCTATAATATAACTTGGCTATAGTTAGTCAATAATATGCACATTAAAATTTTCTAACAAATAGTTTCATTAAAATACTTATTTGAAACTTGGAAGAAATATAGTGCTTCTTCATTTGCACAAACTGAAAGAAATATGAATGCCTCTTGGTTGGCACACATTCTGGAAATGCTAAAATGAATGAAGGCCATCACTTTCTCATCAGGATATAGGAGATCAGTTATCGTGGTTGAAAGAGTTCTTCAATAGGAAATTATTTTCTCTGTTCTCAGCTAAAGAAGGTCCATGTGTGTTAGAGGTTAGGCCTGGATTCTTATTGTAACTTTTAGGTAGTTCTGTGGTGGTGCTTTGGAAGGAAGAAGGGAGGGAAAGATGTAAGAAATATTTCTGATAGGGCATAGGAATCAAACACCATATAATCTTTCTTGATGAGTTGGTGACATACAGATAGATATTTAAAGAATATTATAAGATCAGCTTAAACTTCTCAGTAGCCAGCCATAGCAAACATACTATTTACTCCTATATATTTGACATTCTGAAATGCATTAAAACTGAAACACAGTATTCTTGAGTGGCCTACTGTATGCCTAGCAGTTTTGCGATGAAGCAGGGATATTGCAGAGAGCAAGACAGCCATAGAAAGATGTTTGTGTGATCGACTTCACTTGTCCCTGGTTCTGCTGTGCAATTTCCGTGCTTAAGAAAAATCGAAGTTCATGGTAGAAATGTTCAATTAACTGTTAAACATTACTCGTCAATTAAGAGATCATTTCCAAATCTGATGGATGAGTTCAAACTATCCAATTCATTCTAATCATCAGGCAGAAGAACAATCCAACTCTCAACGAGAAGAGAGCAGATAAACATGTAAATGAACTCATACATCTTTTAGAAGTACTCTGCCTAGAATGACTGAAGATTAATCCACAAAATTTTCCATGTGTTAAATGATGAGCTGAATTACAGTGAACAATGCAGCATTCAATAGAAACCTAATTTTATTTTGTAACATTTTAAATAAGAACTAGCTTATAAGAGTAAGTACCTAGGGATAAGCCAGTACAAGAAAAATTCTGTTGAGAGCTCCAGCTGGGTATGATGGTGCATGCCTCTAATTCCTGTGCTCTGGAGGCAGAGGCAGGAAGATCACAAGGAGTTCAAGGCCAGCCTTGGCAACATATCGAGTTCCTATCTCAAAAGAAAGAAAAACAAAGAAAGAAAAGCAAACAAGGTCTAAAGACCGAGTCCCATAACTGCTGTGGTATGAAGTTTTGCAAATACCATAGCCAGTCAGATATTCTGCTTTATTGCATAATATTGTTTTCTCCCTTATACTTATTACTGAATAGGACCCAAAGAGGTACCTCCAAAGGAGTGATGGGGTCCTCAGTTCACCTACTCATTGTATAAATTGGATAGGTTGTAGGGTTTTTGTCTTTGTATTGGGAATTGAATGCAGAGACCCTACCCTGCGCTCTATTCCCAGCCCTTTAATTTTTTTTAATTTTTATTTTGAGTCAGGGTCTCACTAAGTTGCCCAGGCTGGACTAAAACTTGCAGTCCTCCTGCCTCAAGCTTCTGGAGCACTGGGATCACAGGTGTGTATCACCACATCCAACTAGCTTTTAGGTTCTGGATTTACATCACAGAAAAGAATTGTTTGGCACTTTGGTGAGAGGCACAGAAAAGCCTGTTAGAAAGAAGTACACTCATGGAGGGGAATGTGGGCATCTGGAGAGCTTTGACACATTGTGGTGTGATGTTGGGGTTTTGAGCTCTTAGGGAACCTTCAAAATGATGGTGTAGGGTGCCCATTTGGTGGGCTCATTTAGGACGCAAACTGCATGCATTGGAAATTTTCAGATCTGCTGTCTACCTGGCAGTACTGCTTCCTTGAGAATGGAAGGCTGTGGGAGGAAAGCAGAAGAGGTCTGGTCCATTTTACTGGCTTAGGATACCTTTAAAGATTCTTAAGGAATTTTTTCTTTGAGTGAGTGGAGGGAAAAAAGACATTGCAACCTTGGGTAACTTAGGTTGTGCCCCAAAGCTGTTATGTTCCTGAAAAGAGCAATTTTAAAATGACATTTTTTCTTGGGTGTTCCTACGGTATCTTTATTTCTTCTCTCCAACCTCACACTGTCTCTATCTACTAGGAGAGTCTAATCTTGGAATCTGGGTAAAAATCCACAGTGCCAGAAAGCCTTCGCTGACGCTTAACCCCGTGACGCAGGCACCTGAACTCTTACAACCCCCAGGAGCATTATCAACCAAGCACTCCAGCAGCTGTGCTCTGAAATTCATCCCCACATTTCCTTCAAGGCCAGGCACTGGGGTGCACCTGTCAGTGACTCAAGACAGCAGTGTTGCTAAGGCAGACTTGTTCCCAGGAGACATGCTCGAGAAGTCCCCAACAGCAGCTTTGTCAAGCCTCTCAGATGCACGGCAGTCTGGAGTGTTCCCCAACCATTTCTGTCAGACTTGCCTCATGGTCTAATGACTCTCCCAGCCCTTTGCTGGCTCCCTTCCATTTCCTCTCATAAAGGCATTTCCTCTAATAAAATCCATGCTCCTTTAATCCTGTCTTGGCATCGCCTTTTCAGAAGGCTTAAACTAAGAGAAACCTCCCTTCTCCACGTTACCTCTACAATTGCCCTCTGTAATTGCCCTTAGTTCATGATGTTGGGTGGCCCTTCTGGTTTATTTTCACATGCATCTTCCATACTACAGTGTGAACTCCAGGAAAGCAAATTTTGCTGTGTCTTATTCACAACTCTTCGTGTGGTGCTTAGCATTGCACGAAGCGCATGATCAATGTTTCTTGAGTGAATGGTGACTTTATGGAGACAGAGTTGTTAGGAGTCACTGAATCAGAAAGAGATTTCAAATCCTATCCCTAACACTTTAGTAGCATGTGATCTTGGAAGTTATTTTTGTCTCCCTGTGCCTCTCTTTACTCATGTATGAACTGGGAATAATGATAATAATATTAGGTTCACCTGTATGAAGTAGACCATAACCAATCTTCCTTGAGCTAAAGCATTAGCAAATTTGCGTGGTTTAGCCAATGGTTATCATGTCGGTTGGTTTGAGGATTGAAATGAAAGGATATGCAAATTTAAAACTCTAGAAACGGACTCAATGTAAAGCCTGATTGAATGTTAGCAATTGTTGTTGTGGGGATTATCTCTCTTGTTATTGTCTCCAAGGCAGCGGTATAAATGCATTACTTCATGTAATGTCACTCGGCTCCACAGAGTGAAGGATGGTTGTGGATCACAGCTCTTCCCCTTGAGACAAGAAGAGTGAAAGTTGGAGTCCAGCCTGGGCAGCTTACTAAGACCCTGTCTCAAAATAAAAATTAAAAAATAAGGGAACGGAAATGTAGCTTAGTGTAAATAAAGGCCCTGGGTTCAATGCTTAGTACCAACCCACAACCCCCCATAAAATAAAACAACGTCCCTCCAAAAAGCATCAACAACAGAAAGTTCCTATAAGCTGTACAACTTATCTGATAGGTAGGTGAGCTGAGCACCCCATCTCCTTCTTGGGTCGTATCCAGTAGTATAGCAATAGGTGATGCAGTTTTCCTCAGTATCTGAAGGTGCATTTTAAAGTGGCAGTAGTGTTCTCAAGGAGGTGACTGTTGTGTTTTAGTTAATCTTTTAAGATAAAATTCACAAAATGTAAACTTTACCACTTAAACTATATAATTCAGTGTTACAGCACTATCATGGATATGTAACCTCAGAATATTTTCGTCACCCTGAAGAAGTTCCCTAGGCATTGATATAGTCTCCATTGCCCCCTCTTCCCACCCTCTGACAGCCAGGAGTGTACTGTCTGCCCTATGGATTCACTGTTGTAGGCATTTCCTATAACAGCAGCATAGCCTTACATATTCAGTTTCTTTTACTTAGCATATTTTCAAGGCTCACACATCTTGAAGAAGCATGTGTCAGTACTTTATTCTTTCGTGGTTGAGTAGAATTCCATTTTGGGGACAGGTCACATTTTGCTTATTAAGCCATTGGTCAATGGCTATTTGGATTGTCTCTACTTTAGGCTACTATGCACACTACAGCTGTGATCTTCTATGTCTAGGTTTCCTGTAAACATATGTTTTTAGTTTTCTTGGGCATGGTCCTAGGAGAGGGATTGCTGGGTGATACAGTGACTTTACATTGAACTTTGGAGAACTGCCAAACTATTTCCAAAGCAACTATGCCATATTTCATTCCGCTAGCAATGTCTGAGGACTCCAGTTTCAAAACAAGATGATAGGAATTTAACAATGGTTGTCACATTACATATTGCTACCCTCAAAAGAGTTCCTTAGATTATCAGATGTAGACATACAAAACTGATCTAATCATATAAGTATTAATTGTCCTTTTTCAAGAACTTATACAATTAGTAGAATAGTCTTCTTAGCTATCTTATGTGTATGTGAGTGTGTATATACATGGTGAGTCCTTCAACTTTGCTCTTCAGTTTAAAGATTATTTCATCTATTTGGAGTTGCTTGTATTTTCAGAAGAATATTATGTTCAGCTTGTATATATATATATATATATATATATATATATACACACACACATACAAATTTATGTGTTTTCTTTTTCTCTTCCTTCTTCCCTCCTTTCCCCTATCCCAATTACTTTTCCTCTGAGCAGTTTCTTACCCTTATACAATATTTATTGTAGATTTTGGATCATATCCTTTTAAATTTTATTTTTAATTAAAAAATATACTAGGGAGCATAGTCTCACTGTATTACCCAGAGTAATAAAGGATTAGTGGTATTTAACACATTTTAAAGTATTTATTGGCCTTTTGTTTATATTCTTTGGAGAAATATCCATTCAAATCCTTTTCTCATTTAAAACATTTTTGAATGTGTTATTTAATAATTTCATTAGTCATTGGGGAAATATCAGTCAAACCCACAATGAAATACAACTTTATATCCGCTAGTATGATTGTATTTTTTTAAAAATAAGCAAGGTTGGTGATGCCCACCTGTAGTCCCAGGTACATGAGCCTTACTTGAGCCCAGGAATTTAAGGGCTGCCTACACAGAACATAGGTACAAATCTTCATGACATTGAATTAAGTAATGGTTTGTTAAGATATTGTACTCAAAACATGCTAAAAAAAACCTAGATGAAGCAGACTTCATCAATATAAACTTTAGCATGAAAGGTTCTATCAGGAGAGTAAAACACAACTCACAAAATGACAAAAGGTATTTACATGTCATATATTCAGTTTTTAAAACTTGTATAAGTAATATTTATGCCTATGTTTCTATCTATTGAAAGTTTTATAAATTTAGTTCTTTGATATATTTGGGGTTAATTTTTATATATGATATGAATTAGGGGCCCATATTTGTCTTTATACAATGAATATTATTGTTAAGACACCTTTTGTTAAGAAAGATCATTTTCCCTACTGAATAGATTTCATGTTTGGTGAAAGTATTTTTTTAGACTCCCAAATCTATTCCTTTCTTCAATGTGTATAGCCATTGACAGCATCACATAGTCTTTGCTAGTGTAACTTTGCAATTGATTTTGTGCTCGGGAAGTATGAGTCCTTCAGCTTTGCTCTTCAGTTTGAAAATTAGTTTGTCTATTTGGAGTCTCTTGTGTTTTCATAAGAATATTATGATCAACTTGTCCATTTCTTCAAAAGAGGCACCCGGAATTTTGATAGGGATTTTGTTAACTCTGTAGATCATTTTGGAATGTATTAGCATCTTAACAATAAAGACTTTTAAACCATGGGTAAGAGATACACTTCTATTTATTTAGGTATCCTTTAATTTTCAACAAATTCCTAGAATTTTCAGTGTATAGATTTTGCTAAATTTATTCCCGTGCGCTTTTGCTATTTTCAATGGAACCATTTTGCTAAATTGATTGTTGGATTGTTCATTGTTAGTGTATAAAAATGCAACTGAGGCCCATTATATAAAAACTTCACACCATCACCGAATGGGATTTATCTGAGGAATGCAAGGTTGGGTCACTATTTGAAATTTGGTCAACAAAATATATTAACAAAAGTACATCACAATTTTAATAGTTGTAGAAAAATATCTGATAAAAATCTAAGAGCCTCCATAAAAACTCTTCTATTCGTAATAGAAGAGAATTTTCTCAACCTGATTTTAAAAATCTATGAAATAAAATCCTACTAACAGCTAACATCATGCATAAGACTGAAAGACTGTTTTTCTTTTAAGATCAACAAAATTATAAAAATATCCAATCCTGCCACTTCAACATTGCAGTGAAAGTTCTTTCCAGGGAAGTTGTGCAAGAAGAGGAGGAAAGACATTCAGACTGGAAAAGAAAATGTGAAACTAATCACAGATGACATGATCTTGTATATAGAAAGCTCTCTCAAAATTCACACTACAAAAGAAAAAAAAAAGACTGGGTTGTAGCTCAGAGGTAGCACTCTTGCCTCGCATGATATGGGGGTTAAACCGCTAGCCTGCAAAAGCAAAAGAAAACTTTTAGACCTAATAAACAGATTTGGGAAAGTTGTAAAATATAGAACCAACATACAAAAATTGTTGTATTTGTTTCCTTTCCCTCTTTTTCTGGTGCTGGAGATGGAAGGAGGGGCCTAGTGTAAGATACTCAAGTATTGTACACCTGAGCTATATCCATGGCCCTTTTTAAATTTTTGTTTTTGAGACAAGGTGTTGCTAAGTTGTTAAATTGCCCAGGCTATGCTCAAACCTGTCATCCTCCTACTTCAGCCTTCTAGAATGCTGGGATCATAGATGGGCACCACTATGCCTGGCTTATTGGCAATTTCTAATTACTGCCACAATTTTTATACCTCTGAACAATGACTTACCATTTCTATTATTCTCAGCCCATGGTAACTACCATTATATTTTCTATGGCCATGAATTCAACCATTTTACATACTTCAATGTCTTACTCCATTTTGTGCTACTATAACAGAATACCAGAGACTGGGTAATTTATTAAAAATTTTATTTCCCACAGCTCTGGAACATTGTGTGTCTAAGACTGAGGGCAAAGGATCTGGCAGTGGCATTCAGGCTGAAGGTGTGAAGGCAAGAGGGAAGATGAGAAGGGAAGAGGGAGAGAGAAGAAAACTGAACTTATTCTTTTATAAGTAACCTTCTCCCACAATAAAGGTTGAATCCATTTATGAGTGTATCGTCTTCGTGGTCTAATCACATGTTAAAGTTCCCACCTTTTAATACTGTTACATTAAGGTCAAGTTTCCAACATACGGATTCTTGCGAACATATTGAACTTCTATCAGTCACAAAAGTAGAACCACAGAGTACCTGTCCTTTTGTGACCGAGGTATCATTTAGCATCATGTCCTCAAGTATAAATTTCATTTATGTTATATAGCATACAACCGAATTCCTTCCTTCACTGGGTGCACAGTATTGCATTGTATGCGGGTACCACATTTTGCTTTCATTTTGTTTTTTTGCACTGCTGATGGCTGAACCCCTTATACATGCTAGGCAAGCACTCTCAATGGATTTTTGAATTACTTGGGTCGCATGCCTATTGGCGCTGCTATGCACCTACGTGCGCAAATAGCTCTCTGACATCCTGGTTTCAGTTCTTTTGAATGTGTGTGTATCCTCTGAAGTAGGAATTCTGGTTCATATGGTAATTCTTTTGAGGATCAGATTGATTGAATATACTATTATATATTGAATATATTATTATCAAATAATTATATGTACTATACTACTATGCTATATAGTATGTATTCACCACTTAAAAATGTACAACTCCCTGAATTTCTTAGAGTATTCATAGTGCTGTGCTACTGTGACATTAACCTAGATGAATTCCATCACCTCTCCCCCACCCAAATTCATACCTGTCAGCAGTCATATTCTCTTCCTATTCTCCTAACCATGAAGCAAAAATTGATGGACTTCCTATTTTGTGGATTTTTTTCTGAGTATTTCATATAAATGGATACTGTAAGTCCTCATATGAATTATTTCTTTCACTTAGCATGATTATTTTCAAGGTTCATGATGTCACAGCATATGTATTTCATTGTTTTTATTAACAAATAATATTCCATGCATATTGTGTATGCATAGATCAAATTTTGTATTTTCATTCATCAATTGATGGATATTTGGATTTCTTGCACCTTTTGGTAGCCTGAGTAATGCTACTATTAACATTTTTATAAAGTTTTTTTGTGAACATATGTTTTCAATTCTCTTGGGTTGTATACTTAGAAGCAAAATTGCTGGGTTACATTGTAATTCTATGTTTTGTTTTCAAGGAACTGCCAAATTATTCTCTCAAGTGGCAATAACAGTTCCACATCTCTTTATTTTTTAACCAAACCTTCCACTGTTCAGCTTTACATTATAACCCCTGTAGGCTGTATGAAGTGGCCTTATGATTTTGATTTATTTTCTATGTTGATTAGTGATGCTGAGCAACTTTTTCACATATTTATTGCATACTTCTCCACTTTCATAGAGGTATATGTCCATTCAGACTCTGTAATAAAATAAAAAGATAAAATAATCTTGAAAATTCTAGAGAGATGCAAAGTCCAGGGCATGTTTAGGAATAGGTGATTAATCTAGAGTGAGTAAACTGTCAGATTTGAAGGTGGGAGTTGGAAAAGCTCTAGGGATGCAGATCGGAGCCAATAATGAATTCTATAATGGTTTATTTCATGTTAATTTCTTTTAGGGAGAGTGCAGGCATTAGGTATCAGGAGCTATGTCTATTTTATTCTGGACTTTTGCTCCAGTGCCTAGCACACTGCTAGGTAAATACAAGGTCTCCGTAAGAATGTTTTGAATAAATGAATGATAAAATTAAATATGTTCCAAGAAAAAACATCTTAAAAAGAAGATTTGGAATTATGGTGTCATTAGAAGAAATCTTTTTATTTTAAAGAAAGAAAAAGAAAGTTTTTAAAAAATAGAAAAAAGGCAGAATAATACAGAATTCAAAAAAATTAATTTTGTAAAATCAACAGTTTATATATTACATATTGTCACCTTAAAAAGTTGTTAAAGTTCCAGCATTAGCTGTCCCTGAATCAAGGCTGGCAGGTTCCTGATGCTGTTGGTTTCAAGGAGGAGCCTAAAGAGATGTCTTTCTATAGTCTGTTGGCCATTTCAGAACTTGGGCAGTGAAAGAAACAGCTTGAAGCAACCCCTCCCCCCCCGGTGAGCAGCTGTGAGCTTGGCAGGCTGTGGCAGCCCAGGATGGGAGCCACAGGTGGCATTTACTGGGACCTGCATCATGCTGGGACCTGGAGTGCTAGGAAACAAAGCAACCCCTTGCCCCACCTCGTGAGTGGCTGTGAGTGTGGCAGGCTCCCAGGACAGGAGCCACCAGTGTTTACTGGGACCCATGCATGCTGGGAAACCAACCAACATTCCCCCCCCCCTCCTGGTGAGCAGCTGTGAGCGTGGCAGACTCTGGTGGCCCAGGATGGGAGCCACAGGCATTTACTGGGATGCACACCATGCTGGGACCTGGAGCACTGGGAAACCAAGCAACCCCTCCTCTCTGCCTGTTTTGTTTTGTTGAACTTCAATATACATGAGAGTATGGACAGCTATTTTGAAGATAATAATAAACTCTACAACAGCCATTAGTGACTTCCCTATTGTCTGGTTTTGAAGACCTAAAACACCTTTCTCATTCTGTTTGGATCAGTTTTATACTATGTTGTTTTGTCTGAATTATCTGTATGTGAAGACATGGACAACTATTTGGAAGAAAACAAAAGACAGTATGAGAGTGAAGATCTCAGGTGGTCTAGCTTTGAAATTTATACCTCTTACATTGCTTTCTTATGTCCTATTTTGTTCTATTTTGTTGTGTTTAATTTTACCCCTTTTAAAATAAAAAAAAATTTAAAAAGTTCCAGCAATAGTATTATTCTTTGTTCATAGATATTTTAGTCTGTTTTGTTTTGTTTAATTTCAACATACATGAAGGTGTGGACAGCTATTTTGAAGGGAATGAGAGGCGTAATAGTAGCCATTGTTGACTTCCCTATTGTCTGGTCTTGAAGACCTAAAATACCTTCATCATCCTGTTCTGGTCAGTTTTATACTATGTTGTTCTGTAGGAATTCACTGTATGTGAAGATATAGACAGCTATTTGGAAGAAAACAAGAGACAATATGATAGTGAAGATCTCCAATTGTCATGCTTTGGAATCTGTGTCTCTTACATTGTTTTCTTATGATCTGTTTTGTTCAGTTTGCTATATTTAACTTTACTCTTTAAAAATAAAATTAAAAAATAATTACAAAATCAAAGCATAAAAAGTGACTAAACACTCAAATATTGACAGTGCAAACCCTTCTGTTCAATGATCTGACAGAAATTTAGTAATATGGTCATCTATCTTACATACTATACATCCTTTATATCCTTTAGAGCACTTTCTTTCCCTTTTACTTTTATAATATCTATTATACTTTTTGGATCTCATTACCCTGTCAGTTTTTATTATTTTTATACTAGAGAGACAATGTGATATTTACTCATGTGAGTCTTGTTTATTTCACTAATGAGGATATTCTCAAGTTGCCTCCATTTACCTATAAAGGCCTCAAGATCATCCTTTTTGATAGCTGAGTAGTATTCCATTGTATAAAATACCACATCGTTTTCATCCACTCTGCAGTTGATGGGCATTTTGGTTGTTTCCAACATTTAGCTATCACAAATTGTGCTGCTATGAACATAGGTGCACATATATCACTGAGACATGACCTTTCTAATTTTTCTGGGAAAATACCCAGGTGGGGAGTAGCTGGATTGAATAGAACTTCCAATCCTAGCTTTTTGAGGAATCTCCATACTATTTCCACAGTGGTTGCACCAGTCTGCACTCCCACCAACAGTGGAGAAGGGTTCCTTTTTCCATGCATCTAGAAGGAAGTTTTTTTAAGGAGAAAATCATAAGATTAAATGTTATAGAAATTGGTCAAGTATTTGGAAAGTAATACAAATCTATTTATCAAAGAACAGAAAAATATGAAGATTTATTTCTAGGATTCTATTTTGCAAATTAGCTTCCTAATCAAAATCTTCAAGAAACAAAGGAAACCACAGATGTTGGAGGACATCTATAATGCCATCTACTTGGAAGGTTGAGGCAGGAGAATTGCAAGTTCAAGTCCAGCCTAGGCAACTTAATAAGACCTATCTCAAAAATAAAAGCAAAGCAAAGTGAAATGGCTGGGGTGTAGCTCGGTGGGAACCCCAGCTCACTACAGATTTAATTCCCAGTACAGCAAAGCAAACAGACAAGCAAGAGAAAACCCAGAAGGAAAGTTGGGACCAGTGTGGGCAGGGTGCTCACTCTCTGATTAGTTGAGCGCATGGGGGAAGGGATGAAAGGAGGTCAGTCTGTGCCTTAGAATCCTTGGTGAGTGTGAGCTCCTGGTTCAGCATGGAGGAAGCATGATTTTAAACTCAGGAAAATTCAATAAAGCCTTAAGTCAGGCCAGAGGCTCTCCTTAGAAATTGATGAACACAGGCCTGTGGTGAACCAGAGAAAATGTCCCTGCACCAGACACATGCTCCCCTGAGGACTTGGGGCTCTGCACTGGGTGCTCAGTAGTGTTAGGACTGAGAGGGTGAATGATTGGGCAAAGAGCACGGCAGACCTTGTGGGGGTGAGAATGCTTCTGCAGTTCAGGCTGTCGTCCCTGTTGTTTACTGATCTGGTAATAAGAAAATTCCTAATTGTAGGTTCACGGCTCATGCCAGGGCCATAAATACACTGCATACCCAGAAGCTGAATTTTCTTTACCTTGTTGGAAAGTGTTATGGCTTATACGTTGTGTCAACTTGAGAAGTCTAGAAGCTTAACTAAGGGATTCAGTAGCTCTACATCCTGGGACGTAGGGGACAAGCCCTTTCCTTCTAGGATATAGTTCATTGTCTCACTTTGAGAAGGTCATATGTTTAACTAAGTGATTCAGCAGGGGACCAGGGTCCCTAGTTTGTAACATCCTCAGCCTGTGCAAGAGGAGGGCAGGCAGATGGTATGAGTGCTACACCCACCCCAGGGAAGCTGCCTCATACAAAAAAAAAAGGCAAATGAGGAGGAACTGACTGCTGGTTCTTTGGAGGAGCTCCAGTCTTCGTCTTCAGCGTGGACCTTGTC